AGCGATTGCTGCGGAATTTCTAGTTTTTTATTGTTAAGTTAAATTTGGAATGTTATGTGGCTTTATCTCATCTGAAGCCTTGTCAAACGTCGCAAAGGAATTTTTTGTCCAGAATACTTTACTCCGCTGGCTATAGGTTTTGCAGAGCGGCTGCTTTCCATAGGCCCGAGCCAGTGTCGAAAAGTTCTGTACAATACATGCCGCCAAATTTCCAATAAACAAAAAGAATCTTTTCATTTTAAAAAGTAAACAAATCACTTGTCCTTGGCGGCTTTAGCTAGTGTCGAGTACCGATGTTCTGATTTACGTTGATGTTATATCCAACAAACAGTCCATTTTTTCCAGTCAGATACGAACTCCGTCATTCCCAATAAATTGGCCTTCACTAATCTCTACTGCTCGATCTTTATATACTTTGAAGGGACTCAGATCTAATAAACCTTCGCACAAACACGATTCAAATAAATATCAGTCGAAAGCATTTGTACTCTGCGACCATAAATCAGATCAGACCAGATTTGCGACGCACGTAAACAAAACATACCTGGCTTAATTGATGTATTGATCGCTATTTAATCAATACTACCAGCAAGGCACCAATCAGAAGCTGCGTTCGTGGGCGAACGCAGTTTTTCAAAATCGTCGGGTTTGCGGGCAAACGTTTCCTTCTCTCCCCTCCCCCCCCCCCGCCATTTTTTTTTTTTTTTTTTTTTGCTCTCGTCCCAACTTTCTCGACGAACTCGAGTGGAAACGCTTGCTACACAGGCTATGTAAACAAGTGCGACTCATTCTAATTCTCTACATAGCAGGACTCTGCCCACAAAGGAGCACCAAACATTTTTTCACACTGAAACTGAATGCATGAGATGGGTACCTTTTCTTTCAAAGGCAGGGCAGAGCCTGCACAGGGACTGCAAGCCCAAGCATTAACAGTCACGGCACGCCATCAGATCTAGATTTACAATCCCGATAACTGATACAAAATAGCCTTATGAATGCGCAATAATTCCACATGTGCCTTACCACGACCTGAATACTGACAAGAAAAACAAAAGAATGACAAAAAGCCTATGCAATTTGAGTCAGCCCATGCTCATTTATGCTACAGATGCATGCGCTTCAGGCTTACCTTCCTGTACAAAATGATGCTTTTTGAAACAATTGCATTCCATTCTGCCAATGAAATTGGACAAAACTAAAGGATATCTTTCCATGATGTTTCAGTTGTTGTTCAAAGAATCTGTGTTTTTGGACATCATAGAACAAGTTGGTACACGTCCCAGAATTAAGAACAGTATTATATTGAATTGGTCACTGTAAAAGCTATATCACTGTGGAGAGTCTTATATTAAGGTTAATGAACGTTTATATTACAATTCAAAGGCAACAGTGTAGCTCTTCTCTTTGAGTTTTTTACATCATGATCAACGGAAAGTTATTGCGTACATTGGTGGTTAAGTTTTTTGTTACAATAGTGGTTGATATTTATTACATTAATGGTTAGTATTACATTAGTAGTTTATATTTATTGGCCGATTATTACATCAGTGGGTGTTACAACAACAAGTTTAGGTATTTCCTACATGAAACATCAAGCATTCTCACTAAGCAGGAAGAAAATGGGAAAACACTTAGAAATAACAATTCAGTCCCTAAAAAACTGTTACTACATAACTCTTTATAACTCTGCTTAATAACAAAGAGTAGGCCATTTATTGCATTAGAGGCAGCTTTTGCATCTTAATTCAATGAAATTGAGGTTGAGGTTATTGTGTAAGAAAGCTATCTCCGATTTTTCATTTATTCGCTGTTTTCGTGAAGGAAGCATTTAAAATAACTCTGAAAAAAAAATTAAAAAGCTCACGCATTGAGTTTTACCCTGATGCATATGCATATATATGCTTTCCTGTTTACCTGTCTCCAGCAGTGTGGAGAATGTATTTTTTGAAGGGAAGTTTGAGAAAAGAAAGAGACATAAAAGCTTTCCAAAAATATTCAGGAACTAGCAAATTCGTTTTCATAAGGTCCAAACTTCTGTTAAAGCATACATTACAGCCTTCATGCACTATAGAAATTAGCGGATATCTGGACAGTTAAATTGGACTAAGAGCAACTCAGTCGTAATTTCATTTCATTTTTCAGCTTGTTGGACAAAATTCATCGGTTGATGACGAAAATGAATACATCACATGACTACTGCAGTAGCAAAAAGATTAACACAATATTGAGTAGACTGGTATGGTGAACATACCATGCAAATTATCAAAATGTCTCATTGTTCAGTTCCTTCTTAATGCAAGAAAACAAACAATCAAGCAAAGTTTATTTATGTCGCTTTTAAGGTTATATTTACATATTAATGTAATTCCTACTCATGTCTCTTGAAATTGCACGTGAGCGTGGCCAGGAGGTTAGGGGGCTGTGTGTGGTCTTGCAATCCGCAGGCCCCGGTTTCTCGCCCTCACCGCTTGCTGGATTGGTCACGGTAATACCGAGTTTAAATCCTCGATCAAGCTTGTAAAATAGCGCTAGCGAACTTGTTTGCCTTCGGCCAGTTGGGATTCTTCACCTTGTTTCGTTTATTGATTTATTTGTTTCTGTTAATTTCTCGGCCCCAATTGCCTTTGCGTTATTTAATAGTGCCAGGGATAAATAATGAAATTTTATTTATAATGATTTTATTATATATTTTCTAGGTTCGGCGCAAGAATGACTAACAGTATTCCCAAAAGTATTCGAGTCCTTATACCTAAACGCAAATTTAAGGTGACCCGAACTTATTCATATGCATGTTGGTTGCATTTTTTCATCCTCTATTTCAACAGGAAGGAATGAAATGATTTCTATTATTTTTGGCATCCTTAATAACGAATAGCAAACCTTTAAGTTTAAGAAACAAAATAAATAAATATAATTTATTTTCTTTTGTAGGTGTGAAAATGTTTGAGAATGTTTGAAGCGTGCTAACAAACTACCTCCCAGTTGAAAGGTTGTTCTTACCCAAGGCTTTGTTGAAAGGAACTAAGTAATAAGAATTCTATACGTTGAATACACTTTTACAGTAACCGCTACAAGAAGAAAAACTGCACGCAGGGTGAGATTATATTATAGACTTTCTACTTTTCAAACTTACTTCGTTCGTATTTACCTCTTTCTTTTGGAAGCAAAGCGTGCTATAGCAGCTAGGGAAATCTTCTTACCGGATTTTAGAACCGTAGATTTCACGTTTTGAGGAGACTAGCCATCAATTCCGTTACTTCTGACCATCCATTTTTCAGCTGTAATGAAGGGCCCAGCTTGTGCTTGATAATATAATTATTCAATACATTCTATCTCATTTGCATGGGCAGTTTTCCACTTGGGGACATTTCTATATTTTTCTTCTCATTATTCCCAACAAGCAAACTTCCCGTGCAAATGTTATGGCAATTCCAAACAATTTGAATTAATTACCAAGCATAAGGGTTTCAAACTTAGCTGAAAAATGGATGGTTAAAAGTGCTAGTGCTGAAATTGGCTGCATTACTCCTCCTCAAAACGGGAACCTGCGACGCCAAAAACTCTTGAGAGTTTTCCGTAGCTGCCATATTTTGCTTTCTTAAGATTATTTTGGAAAAGAAAGGGACAAATACGCATTAAGTTTGATAAATAGACTTCCTTAAATTTAACTCCTTGTGCAGCATTAAGTTTCTCTTCCTGTAGCTCTACCTGTGCTAGCCGTAGGTTTCTGATTACTCAGTTTAGCTAAATAAAAAAGGGTTCTATATGTTTAAACCAGCCTCCCACTTTACACACTTTCTGCAGGGTGAAATTAGACCTCTTTTTCGATCTACATAGTCAATTAAGTCCATTCACATTTATTAGTGGCTTCTGAAGGGCCAAGCCAACCCTCATATTTTAATTCACAGAGATTTACAGGATCCAATCAATGCTCATTTTCGATTAAAGGAGCATTTACAAGCTTTAACATGTTCTACAGGCCAGATTCAAACCACTACCCTTTTACACTTAACGAGGCTTTACAAGGCCATATTATATTTAGTTTCAGTCCATATTTCTCGATTTACGGGCTGTTTACAATGTCGAGGTAATCTCTTTTTACTTTAAGTTATTTACAGCTTTGACATGCAATACTTATACGCTATTCGGCCGACAGGATGTTGGCCTCGATGTCTGCACGTTTTTTACACGTTATTTGTACTATCTACAAAACTTTCACAGTACTTCCTAACAGATTAGCCAGCTAATCTTTCGTTTCATTTGTTCAGTAATTATGGTTGATTCATGTGATACTTACATGTTATAATCGAAATTCAGTTATACTGATCTGCACGTGGCTTGTACACAACCATCTAGTAAAATAGCTGGCCAGCTGATAAATTACAGTCTGCAGTTTTATTTTGAGATGAACGATTAAAGAATCTTTTCCAAAGGAAAATTCTCCTTGCACGTCAATAAATAAAAACACTGAGAAACGTAAGAAAAAAATATAACAAGAAGATCGAAAAATGCGGTTTCGTCTGTTGGATGGAGTTCAGCTGACTCGATCGATTAGTAAACTTAACAGGTTTGGTTTTTGTTCTCTCTAAAGACGTACCATTTTTGCCTTAATGTACAATTTCCAAAAATTAAATTAGTCCGGAGAATTGAGAATTGAGGCGAAGTTGAAAGTGTTAGTCCTGATCATGATCCCTCGGACTATTATGAATCCCAAAGAGAAAAAAATTATAACTCTGAGATATTGCTACCCCAGCAATGTTAATTTATAATAACGAGAGAGAGAGCGGGATTTTACTTATTACATAAACACCAATGTGAAAGTCCAAACCATTTCACTTTAATGTATTTTTAATTTTGCTGCGATTAATTTTTTTTGTCTGCGAAAGGCACGAGAGACAATTTCACGTGAGACAATTTCATGTTTTCGCGCGGAAGCTCACCTGGTATTTCATTGGTGGTTATAAAATAAATCGTAATTAGCTTCGACTGTCAGTTATATTTTATCCTTCCGTGGCAGGTCCAACTCTTCTCGGTTGGGGACAAAACGACAACAAAGCCTTTTTGTAACGCCGACCATAATTAGGATTGCTTAGTCCATAAATAAATGGATTAACACAAATGGTGATGAAGTTGAGAATTGCTGTGAAATGGTGGAGTGTAGAGTCTATTTTCGCTTTACCCGCAGTTGCAAAGATAAAGAAGATTTGGTTTGGCGAATAACATATGAGCAAAATACAGGTCATAATGCCGATCATTCTTGTCATCTTCCCTCGTAGCTTGGCCTTGCTCTCCGCGGAAGCAACTGGGGAGTTGTTTGTCTTCACAATCATATGTATGTACAGTCCAATCATGGAAAGGCATGGAAAGAACAACTTCATGATAATAAGGAACACAGACAGAGACGTGCGGAAGATAGAGCCTGATGAAATAAAGTTTAATTTGCAGATGTCATTGGATGATGAACTTGGATCATAGTCTACATCAAACAAGACGACTATTCCATCGAGGACGAATGACCAGATCAAACAGAACAAGACGTAACCCATGAGTCTCTTTCCCTTGAAGAATAAGTTATATTTAGAAGGTTTTACAACAGCAACCCATCGCTCTACTGTTAACAGCAATGTAATGTAAATGGAGAAAAACACCAGCTGAAAGAGAAACATTCGGCTCCAGATCACTTTGCAGAAGATCTCTCCAAGAACTGGATTGGTTGGACGAGGAATAAGGTCACCAAGAGCGAAGCCCGGACTCGTGATCAAGAGAATGGCAGACAGCACATCTGCGATGGCAAGGCAAAGAATGAAAGCGTTGTAGGACTTTTTCAGCAGCTTTTTGTCACCAACAAACACTAGAATGGTCAACGTGTTTCCAAGGATTGCTAAAATAGAGATAACACAAATAGCAATCTGGGTTTCGGTAAGTCTGACTTCCATTGCCTGCTTTCTAGGGGTATAGAATATACACTGTGTCTTGGGAACTCTTCACATAACAAATCCTACTCTTTGAGTCTTTTCAGTGATGTTAGGTTTTTGAGTCAGTCATGAAGGAGCAGTTGTAAGTTTTGCTGATGTTGTTGATCCAGCACCATAACGAAACCAATACCTGAAGTAACGGATAATAATTCAAATTGTAAACGTTACGCAGATATCGTACCCGTCGATAAAACATCATATGTATAAACATAGGAATCACTGATACACGTGTAAAATTCTTCAAACATACTTTATACAAGAATGTTTGTCGCAGGTAGAGAAAAAAAACTACGAATAAATGAACAGACTCAAACGCACAGATAAATTCCTCAATAGAGCAAGTAGTATACTATGTTGAAAGATAAGCCCTGTTGGTGCCTTCCCTTGCCTTCCCTTAATTAATACGCATAATGGTCGAGTCTATGACGTCATCCATTGTTTTATCCTAGAGAAAAAAATGCGTTCCTCCATATTAATTAAGTGCCTGGTCACTGTCTTTTTGCATATTAATTATGTGCCTTCCTCCATATATAATGAAGTGGATAGGTTTATAGCCTGTGAACAGGCCTTTGGTCGAGCGAGGTGGGGAGAGGGAAAAGCGAAAAAGGCCTGTAGACAAACATTTGGGATCGCCGTTCCACGGTACCCGCTGTACATCAGATCCTGATGCAAGCTCCTGTTGGCAAGAACACTGACTGTTGACAGGCCTTATTGACATCGGCTTTTTGGTGGGCACGTAGCACGCGATTTGATCACAGAGTGGCAATAACAAAACAGTTCAAAGACTATTACCACGGGGAGGAACTACGCGCTCCGGTCAAAAGACTCAAACTGTCTTTAAAAAAAACACTAAGCTGGAGTTTATAGTTACCGAAGCACAATGCAATTCTCCATAGCTGATATATGTATCTTCGGTTTAAGCTACACTTCAATCTTATAATTTTGGATCTGTAAATAACTATCCGTGATAATTTTCAAACAGTCTGCAAAGAAAACTAACGAGCTGGGCCCGGCGTCAGGATACAACATTGCAGAAAAACATTACATTCACGGACTACAGAAAATCGCTCGAAATTGATTGACCGATAGCGATCTTACTGACAGATGATCGGCAGGATAATTACAAGAGGGCGGAATTAGAGGCCTCAAATGTTTGTCTACAGGCTCTCTCCCACCTTTCCCTTCCCTTTCCTCGCTATTTTTCCCCAAACAGAGAGCCTGTTCACAGGCTAATAGGTTTACTAATGAGCGTCGCTCTACTTCAATAGAAACAATAGGCTTGCCTAGATTTGCCCGGACTCTTTAACCCAGATTGGTTCATGTAGAATCTATTCTGTCTTCCAAATAAAAGCGAGTAGATTTCGAAAGCGCTATCTTTCTTGCAATCGCTTTGCTAAGGAAAAAGTCTTACGATCACCAATATTCTTTAAAACATTGCTCCAAACATGCAAGTCGAATCGAGCGCTTCACTCTTTTGACGATTGACGAAGTGGAAAAAGTCCAAAGTCAACGGGTAGCTAGCCTTATCGGCCATGTGTGCCAACTGACTTATGCGGCTACGGTTGACAAACTCATTCAAGAAGAAAAGCTGAATCACTGCCACTGTTGTGCTATTCAACACCCAAGTCAAAACGAACATTCTTGCCTCATGATGGATAGTGATGACGCATGGATGTATTACCATGATGAAGTGGTGGAACAAATTGACCTTAAGGTTATCTTAAAAACGGCTGAAAGTGTGTGCAGTGCTCTTGGTTTCAAACTTGGCAAAACGTGGGAAGCGTACGTGACCGAATTACCAAAGTTGCCTTGGACTAGCATCTATCTCACTTCCTTGGAACTCGAAGATTATGGTACAGACAACGGAAAAGGCGCAGAATTGTTCACGAAGTTTATAAAAACACTGAATGTTCAACTAAATTAAAATTATTTCACTGTTATCTTATAGCATTGGCACAAGGAGGAAATAATTCCACTTCTCTTCTGTACACTTTATGATACTTCCAGGTACTTAATCCACGTCTTTTTCGCCAGCTTGAGGAGGAAATTAAAACTAACAAAACTACTGATACCCATTGCAAGTTACTAACCTTGAACAAAGCGTGATTATAACATTGCTTGCGGGAGCAACTTTTAAAACAATAAACCAACAAGTCAAGCTTTAACAGTGTTTTATTAAACACCTGCAACCAAACCCAAAAATTGAGCTCAGATGACTCTGACTGCTGTCAAGAATAAATATGCACGGATATATATATATGTCTTTTTTAATTGGTGGACAAAATTGCCGAGCCGTTGAGGCCACAAACCTTTTAAGTTAATTGAAAGTTAATACAAGTTTTTCCTTTATTGCTAATATTATTGCGCCAAACTTGCCATGGCTCTGTTTACAAATGATCATGGAGATTGCCAAGTCTTCATTGTTTTGTAGGCAAGTCGGTTGCTACAAACGGACAGTGAAGTCCTGCCGAGTGATTCCAAATTGACATAAAACTCGACGCACGAAAGATGGCGGTTTCCATTGTTATTTACACGTTATCAGTAAATTATTGAATAATTAAAATTTTGCTCAGCTACTTCCCTAACAGCTGTAGTAACAAATAAGATGATCTTTGTTAGTTAGGTGAGATCTTTTTCCTCACAGGTATGCGAAATACTTACTTGTTCACATTAGGAAACCTAAATGCCTTTGTTAGAAGCAAGATATTTTCTTCTACTTGACATGCAGTAATAAAGCGAAGAAATTAAAGATCCTCTTGTGCAATTTGTTGTGTTTTCAAACTTTTGACATATTTGCATTAATATAACACAATGTGCGACATCAGCTAGAGCAAAGTGTCATCTTTAATTAATGTATTCCTGATCACAAAATGCAGAGGCGAAAATTAGCCCTGGAAAATTTTCAGCCTAAAAAGAATAACGCATTATGAAATTTCTTAAGAATATAAACCCTTTTTCGGACTCCGGTGAACGGCAATGTATTCAGCACCAAGAGAACACACACCTTCTAATGTAATGGTTATCGTTTAGCCAAACTCTTTTTCATATCGTTGCTTAGATTATCAGGCATCATGGAATAATTTAATGGGACGGGTAAACTTATCGCTCATAACACTGAAAGACAATGTTTCTTCACAGGCGGCCCAGACGTAGTATGTGTAAAATGAATATATTAATATTCACATGGACAAAACAGGATGAGTCGTCGAAACTCCCATGCCAACTAAAACAGTCCAAAAGTCAAAATATAACAAAGCAAAGCTAAGATACCTTTAACTGAACGTATCCTTGTCTTTCCTGGCCGGTTAAAGTTGCGTTTTGTTGAGTTTTGCAATTGTAGGTACTATCCACTAAAGAAAAATTAAAGGCTGGCTACAAAACAAACGGACCATCTCCACGCGCCTTCACGCGAAGCGCTATAAATTTGAGAATAATCGACGAATCCGCTCCAAATTGCCATCGGCTAATCTGCAGGTAACGTGTGCTCTTGCTTCTGGCTCGCTGGCTCCTCAAAACCCATCGCAACTGCACAATAATCGCTCACTCATCAACAAGCACTGTTAACCTTTACGCTTCGATATGACTGCAAACTACCAGGTTTATTACGCGACGTGAATATTCAAGCTTAGTGACCCCGTCCGCGCGACAATACAGCACTTGCTATGGGAGGGATGGTACTATTGCTTCTAGGTCAATCAATCGGGAAAATAATATTGAAGCCCTTCTTCTGAAGTTTAACTTTTCACATTTCACTCCCTGGGTTAGGCTATTTTTACCCTGGGTACCAGAGGTTTTTTCTCGCGTTTGACGAGGAGCTTAGTCGGCCGTCGACACGCCTTCGGCCGAAGGCCGATGAGACGAGCGGCGAAGCCACGAGAAAAAACGTCTGGCGCAGAACGCCTTTATTTACCGTGCTAGATGGACCTTGACTTTGTCTCTAATCTGTCAATCAAACCGGCGGTCGCAAGACTGTTTACGCTAATTCAAAAGTACAGTGAAACCTGTATTAGGCGGACACCGTGTTAAGCGGACACCCTCTGTTAAGCGGACACTAGCCGAAGTCCCCAAATTTATTTCCCTTATTTACTTGAAATGAAACCTTTATTAAGCGGACACCTCTATTAAGCGGACACGGACACCTAAAAAGTACCTGAAATGGTCATTTCTATTGTTGCCAACCTGTATTAAACGGACACTTGTAATTGAATTCCACCACCCAACACGCTAGAAACCGGAAATGAGAAAGATTGCCTCGAATTGCCACCCACAAATTTTTCGATTTCGCATTAAGAAACATGACTTGGCGAGCTTATTTGATTAGTTCCACAGTACAGTATTGTTTTCTATTTCGTTTTGTTTGTATAGAGCTTGTTTCACTCATCTCATTTCTTCAAATTTGAGTTGCAATCTATGTTTATGGTGCTATGATCAATAGGTTCACTTTAAAATGCAAACGTACATCGTCACAGTCTCTGGTAGCCTGCGAACCGCAGACGCATTTCCGGTCGTCGCTTCTCTCGTTCGCAGGCTAAGTCTCTGGGAGTATTCTAAACGTTTCCATTGTTCATTTGAATGGCATTTGACACCTCATATGACGTTATCTATCGAAACCTGTATCAGGCGGACACCCTGTATTAAGCGGACACTACAGCATTCCCCGAGGGTGTCCGCTTAATACAGGTTTCACTGTAATCACCAAGGGAGGAAAGACGCGCTCCAGCAAAAGGAGTCACATTATCTTGAGAAAAACAAACTGGAGTTTGAAAATCATTGTTTAAAGAGCAATCTTGTCACAGTGCAGTTCTCCATATTTATGTAGCTTCAGTTTAAGCTGCAATCCATTCTTCGAAATTTGAATCTGTAAATCACTAAGGCGAAAAAGCCACTTGAACCAGTTGGGCCTAGCGTGACCAAACATTGAAGGAAGCGTTCACATTTAGGGACAAATAGAAAATAGCTTATATTTATTCAGATCCAGGAGGCACTTTGGAGAAAATCACACAACCTAAAAGTTTATTTAGCCGCAATAAAGAAGTTTACTTTTCAAGAGGTCAAAGAAAATGCTATCGACTCGCATCAGAGGGCAAATCATGCAGACCAGAAATAAACCGCAGAAAATCAATATGCGTGTCACGACCTCTCAGTATGAAACAAGCGGCAAAAATAATGCACATTTGCTCAGTCGTAATCTACCCGCTGGAGAAAAAATTCATTGGAACAAGCAGTAGCTTGGCACGAGGTAAAAGTAGTGTGTTGCTTACTGACTCCCTTGTGACACACTGCATCTGCCAGGTAGTGACTAGAACAAGACAGCCAATATTTCTTTCCTTTGATTTTAATTTACAATGCCCTCTCTTAGTTCCGCACTTATCATCCACCACACCATCGAATGCTCCAGTGACTTCGGCTATTGCCTTATCTAAATCTTCCGTTCGTATAGGCACCTGATATTTCAGTTCTCTTCCAAAAGCGAAAACGTACGTGATGTGTGCTTGGATTCTTTGGATTTGATCTTTGTCATCTTCAAAACACCCGCGTCCCGATCACGCGCCTATTGTGATTGTAATCCAATCAGAGCATTTGAAACACGAACCTAGCTATGCAAGCGGCTGGACTAACAATGTGACAGCAGCTGCGAACGTTAGAAGAATTCGAACTTGAAAACCAGGGCCGCCCTGCTGAAAATTTACGGACGGTCGCGCGATCGCCTTTTGTTTTCTGGTCAAAACTAACGCAGCGGACGCTCGCTCAGTGTCGATTGACCTGGAAGCAATAGCACCATCCCTCCCATAACAAGTGCTGCATTGTCGCGCGGACGCGGTCGCTAAGCTTGAATATTCAAGTCGCGTATTAAACCTGGTAGTTTGCGGTCATATCGAAGAGTAAAGGTCAACAGTGTTTGTTGATGAGCGAGCGATTGTTGTGCAGTTGCGATGGGTTTTGAGGAGCCAGCAAGCAAGAAGCAGGAGCACACGTTACTTGCAGATTAGCCGATGGCAATTTGGAGCGGATTCGTCGATTATTCTCAAATTTATAGCGCTTCGCGTGAAGGCGCGTGGAGATGGTCCGTTTGTTTTGTAGCCAGCCTTTAATTCTTCTTTAGTGGATAGTACCTACAATTGCAAAACTCAACAAAATGCAACTTTAACCGGCCAGGAAAGACAAGGATACGTTCAGTTAAAGGTATCTCAGCTTTATTTTGTTATATTTGACTTTTGGACTATTTTAGTTCATTGGAGTTTCCACGACTCATCGCATTAATTTGTCGATGTGAATATTAACATATTCATTCAGTGACACATACTACGTCTGGGCCGTCTGTGGTTTCTTCACTGACATAGCCTAACATAAATGAATTTACACTTCAAAGTCCAAGGTAGCGCGTGAAAACCATCTTTGCAGTTTTTACAGCATACTATAGCTTCCCAAAAAATACCAAAGATTAATATATTACACGTTGCGGTATCTCAACGTTAATTAGGGAAAATGTTACTGATTGACATCATGATTTCTTTTCAGTAACACTTAAAACCAAAATAATGATCAAACTGTTTTCTTTTTTACTAATCCTCTCATAAGTTTTATCCCTACTAATAATCCAGGCACTTTAGCTGTCACAAAAAAATGTTAAAAAAGCTAAAACATAAAACATATTCTAATAGACGTATTGTTTCGGAAACGAGAACATAAAGGAAGCTTTTTCTTTTATACATTACCTCGGTTTAGTGGATAAAAAAAAAACAATTGAAGCGGCCGTTTAAGCTCTTATCAGGCTACTGTAATTAATTTGTTAAACAACAAAAGCAGAAACTATCGCACAAAAAAAAAATTAAAATAGAGAGTGGAAATTAATTTTTTTTCTTGAAAGTTTTTCTTTTTTTATAAATTCAAATGAGTGCAATAAAAGTGTGAACTCAAGATATCATGTAAAAGACGTAGTACTGAAAAGAAAAAAAATTATCTAAACTCGGAGCCACCTGCGAAAACGGTTTAATTGATAAAGCTAGTAGAAAATTTGTAAATTTTTGAATTTGTAAATTTTATTTCTCAAACCTTAAGGTGACTGGACCCAGTTTTTTTGGGGGGGGTACCATCCTACTTTGAAGCTCTCTGGTATCCCCACCTTTACTTTTATCGTAAGTCTAACACATAGAATGGATAATTTTGCGATCGGAGTAAATGTCACGTGGTTATAATGCCACGCCCCTTTGAGGTCTGAGTCGAAAATCTGCTGTTGCCGGCATTTTTTTAGTGCGCGTTAGTGCCTTGCGCTGAACAAAGTTTCACCAAAATCGCAAAAATCGATAATTTAGTATGAGAAAATAGAAGGGATTCCCGTAACGAGTTGGTTTAATTATTGGCTTGCATTAAACCTATGAAAAATGATATTTTTTTAATAGTAAGTAGATTTAGTGTGTAGCACTTCTTGATTTTTTTGCAAAGGTACAAGAAGCACGAGAATTGATTGAAGATTGTGAGTTCAACCTCTATGTATCACGCGATGGCCTGTCTCACTGTACCAAAATTATCATATCTCGGTGAGCATTCGGAAGTCAGCCAAGCGCGGTCATTGCACACGTGCTGAACAAGAATGCTGTATCATGACAGACTAGAAACAACAGACAACTCCCAAAGCACAAACTCAGCCAAAACGCTAAAAATCTTCAATTTTTACTCAAGTTTGGGCTTATAGAATATAATGTCACAGTTTTTCAATGACCATGAAATTCAGAGTCCGGGTAGTTAGTTAATCACTTGTGGCCCTGAAAAATTTGAAGGAAAAAAAACTACGAATTTTTAAGAAAATGCTTTTTTCGTGAGAAGGACTCTTAAACGCTGACAAACGTCAACAAATAGCGAAAACTATAATTTCTATATGTTTGCTTTGCTCGAAATCGCGCGCATTTACAAGGCCCTAAAGCATTTTGCTGACTTGCAAGGACCTATCTGTTATAACGATGCCCAAAATAAAGGGATGAATCTCATAGTTTATTAGATATAATCCAGTAAAGTTTGTTTATCATTTTCGCATAAATTATGACCTAAACTTGGAAACCGCTGAATTTCTCGAATTGGGTCTTTGCGATTTTGGTGAAACTCTGTTCAGGGCAAGGCACTAATGCGCACTATGTGTAGCCGAGAGATTTTCAAGAAAAAATGCCGGCAACAGCAGATTTTCGACTCAGACCTCAAAGGGGCGTGGCGTAATAACCACGTGACATTTACTCCGATCGCAAAAAATTTTATGTTATATTGTAGATTGATCTATATGTTATCCATTCTATGTGTTAGACTTACGATAAAAGTAAAGGTGGGGATACCCAGGATGGTGCCCCCCCCCAAAAAAAACTGGGTCGAGTCACCTTAACTGAGAGCTTTTGCTCACCAAGAAAAAATACTTTAGACCAAGTCGCCGCACGATGAAGCAAACCTTGGATTAAAGGCTCGCTATGAGTTTACCAAAGAGAGTCATACGATGGATATGATAAGACCCATTCACAGTGATATATTCTTTCAAGACCGGTTGATGCTTAATGGAGTTAATTTAAGAATCAAACTGAACCGAGCCAAGAAGGTGTTTTGTCTTGTGTCCTCAGCAGCCGCAGCTAATTTCAAAGTGGTTATCACAGAAGCCATCTTGTTTGTACGCAAATTCAAGGTTGCCTCCTCTATCATTCTAGGCCATGCAGCTGGGCTAAAACACTCCTGCGCCAAGTACGCCACTCGCAGAATGGACTGTAAAGTACTCTCTATTCCAAGAGGATTTAGCAGCTTTAACCCTGAGAACATCTTTTTGGGTCAAATTCCCAAACGCATAGTATTGGGATTAGTGGACACAGAGGCTTACAATGGGAGTTATCGTACCAACCCCTTCTACTTCAAACACCACAACTTAACTCAACTGGGTGTGTACGTGGACGGAGAACAAATTCCCCGAAAACCGTTGTTCCTGAATTTTGACGCCGCTGGTGGTGAAAATGTGCTGTCAAAGTCTTTTCTCTGGTATTGGAAGGCTTTTAATGTTAAATACCCCCTGCTCAGAATACTATTCAGTCCGTAGCTTTAATAAAATGCTCGTAAATTCAGACGCAAAATCTTTTTCAATTCTTCACTGTAATATTAGAAGTTTATCTAAAAACCTAAATCTATTAGAAGAACTATTATGCTCCCTTGACTCCAAGCTGGATATACTTGGAATTACAGAAACTAAATTAGGTAAGAAGTCTATTTCTAATTTCTTTTCTAATTTCTTTTCTCGCCAACAAACGCAGGTGGAGCTGCTTTATATATAGCTGATAATCTTAAAGCTGTACCTAGGACTGACATTAAATTTGACGTAGCGCTAGTTGAATCCTGCTGGGCAGAAATTGATGCTGGTGAAGGTAAAAAGAAAATCATAATAGGTTGTATCTACAAGCATCCCACTTGTAATTTAGAACAGTTTCGCAACCAGCTAAATGATATAATCAAAACAATTAATCCCAATAGTCAGACACGCAATTTACATCTTTAGAGATATGAATATAAACTTCCTGAAATTCAATGAACATGCTCAAACTGAAGAGTTTTTAGATATGCTTTATGCCAATAACATCTTGCTGATCATTACTAAACCTACGAGGTTTACCGATCACACAGCAACACTCATTGACCATATATATATATATACAAATTCTTTACAAAATTTTACACCAGGAATCCTAACAGTTGATATAACAGATCACCTTCCGATTTTCTGCTTAGTCAGAACCCAGCCTACACGGAATAATAGTAACAAAAAATATTTTCGAGACTACTCTAAATTTAATAAAGATTTATACTTAGATGATATAAAATTGATTGATTGGCGCGAAATCCTCAACCCAGAAAAGAATCTAAATGAAAAGGTACAGGAGGCAATACATTGAATAAAATTGTGGACAAACATGCGCCTACCAGGCTGGCTAGCCAAAGCAAGCAAAGGCAACTTAATAAGCCATGGCTCACTAAGGGTATCCTAAAATCGGTAAAAAGGAAACAGAAAATGTACCATACGCATTTCTTAAGCAAGGACTTACAAAAAATCGGGGAATATAAACATTATGCAGCTATTCTTTCACATCTTTAGAATAAAAGTAAGACAGAATACTATAACATGCAATTTGCAAAGTACAAAGACAACCTTAAGCAAACTTGGAAACTTATTGGTACTCTTGTTAAAAGGAAAACCAAAGGGCAAACTTTCCCCACGAGAATCACTCACAACAACAGGACTTTTACACAAGAAAAGGACATTGCCGAATTATTCAGTAACTTCTTTGTAAACATTGGGCCAACTTTAGCAAGGAAAATCAAAACTGATCATACAGACCCTTTGCAATATATAGAATCCACGCCATCAAACAGTTTTTACCTTGCTCCAGTAACCCAAACACAAGTATTTACATTATTTGCTAGGCTAAAAGAAAACAGAGCATCCCTTATTGTTCCTAACAAGCTTATTAAACTTGCAACTGAACACCTCTCTGCACCCTTTACTGAAATATATAATGAATCAATATTATCAGGGGAGTTTCCTGAAATCTTTAAGATATCAAAAGTAACCCCAATATTTAAAAGTGGTAGTCTATCCGAGTTAGGAAATTACAGGCCAATAGCAGTTATTTCTCCCTTTAGTAAAGTACTGGAAAGACTAGTATATGACCAACTTGTGTCCTATCTGGAAAAAGAATGTCTACTATTTAACTTCCAATTTGGCTTTCGAAAGGGATATTCCACTGAATATGCCATTCTAGAAGCTGTGGAAAAATTAAAGTCAGCAGTTGATGATAGTGTGGGATCCGAGGGCTCCCCCATGCATGGTTCTCAAGCTATATAACTAATCGTAAGCAATATGCCAAAGTTGGTAACACAGAATCTAGTCTGAAAACCATCACATGTGGTGTACCCAAAGGCTCCACACTAGGTCCACTGTTGTTTCTATTGTATATTAACGACTTGCCCAAGTCTTCAAAGAAATTAACTTTTAGGATTTTTGCAGATGATACAAATATGTTTTATTCTTCAAAAGACCCAGAACAATTACAATCAGTGATCAATGAAGAACCTGGAAAGGTCTTAAAATTCTTTGCAGCAAATATGCTGTCCATTAACTTTAAGAAGACTAATTACATGATAATTTCTTCACCTAAGAAGAAAACAAATATCAGAATAACAGCTTGTAATATAGAGCAAAAGTCCCAGATTAAATGTTTGGGTGTCTTTATCGATGAACATCTAAAATGGGATGCTCAGCTCCAGCACATTAACAACAAAATAACAAAAAACATTGGAATTTTATTTAAACTTGGGCATTATGTGCCTATGAGTACACTCAAACAACTGTACTATACTCTCATATATCCGTATCTAACGTATGGATTAATGAGCTGCATGGGGTACCGCATAGCAAACTAAGTTAAATAAAATCAAAGTAATTCAAAATAACTGTATTCGCTGCATCTTCTTTGCAAATAAAAGAGAAAGTCCCACACCGTACTTTACACTATTAAAAATCTTAAAATTAGAGAATATCTTTAAATTAAAAATTGGCGCTCTTGTGCATAAAATTCAAAAAAAGGATACACCTCCTGCCCTGTATGACTTAGTTCAACCGGCTTCAGCTGTCCATAATTATAATACTAGGTATGCCACTAATCAAAACCTGTGTAGACCGTTTTCCAGAACTAATTATGGCCTAGCAAGGTTTGGTGTAGTGGCATCACAGACCTGGGAGGCAACACCTACGAAAATTAAGTGTCTCCCCTTGAATAGTTTTAAAAAAGAATATAAACTCTTTCTACTTGACAGTCAGGCATCTTGAACAACTCTAATCTGCTACTTAGTTCTATTTATTTAATTATTTAATCTAAATAGTTTTATTATTATTATTAGTAGTAGTAGTACTGTATAACCTCCACCCACTTGTAACCGCTATGTGGTAGTAGCCAACTCGAAAGCTTGGCTCCTTTGGCTGCTACACACTCTTTTCCTTTGTTATGTTTAATTCGATGTATAGTTAGCTCTGTTTTTTTTTTTTTTCATTTCTTCAGTTTTATTCCTTATTGTTGTTGTATTGTAATTGAATAAGTGTGAATAAATGAACTTGAACTTGAACTTGAACTTGAACTTGAACTTCCTAAGATATGGGCAATCAGATAAACATAAGTGATTACGGCTCTGGTTACACCTTATTCGCATTTGATTTGACCCCAGATTACTGCCCGGGAGATCATTTTGAGCTCATAACTGCGCTTGGAGCTTCATTTCTCGGAAGCACTCGCCAACACGGTCAACCTTATCGTCTACGCTGAATTTCAAAACGTGATTGAGGTCGACGCAAACCGAAACGTTCTCTACGACTACACAAACTAAAAATGGACACCATTCAACCGGCCCTTATTTTGAGAAAGGATAAATTTACACGAGGTGCGTTTCAAGGCGTGTATCCCTCAGACAAGCTGCCTGCAAGTGTTTCGCAATACCCAGCCCTATACATCGCCAATGTGGATACGAGTGACAAGCCAGGTTCGCATTGGGTGGCATTTTATTTCACCAAAGAGCAAGAGGGAGAATTTTTCGATTCTTACGGAGCACCTCCCAGCAAATATTCAGGAACGTTTACTACCTTTTTACCAGTGGATTTTTAATACTGTTACATTACAGAGCATCTAGTCCAAAGTCTGCGGACATTACTGTTTGTATTTTGCTTTATATCGTAGTCGGCAAATAAGTATGAGTACAATTGTGCATCGTTTTTCTAATAATACACACACGTAAAAATGATAGTCTTGTCAAGCGATTTATTGAAAAACATTTTCCTATAAGTCTTCCGAAATATCGCACTGATGTAAACAAGCAAAGAGCACAAGGACAGCACAACGTTCAATAAATAAACACCTTGTAATTTCTTTTTAACATCTTTTATTGAGTGAACAAAATAGAGAGATGATTTACAATAATAATAATAATGTCTCTTGTGGTGATTTTATAACCGTAACCAGCGCATAGCCTCAGGGCGCGGACTCGCATTTCTTCGCCGCTGTTTTTTCACGGGGATACCGTCACAGGTGGGCTAGGTAGCCAACGGGAAGGACTGTTAGGGGTTTCGTCTCTTACCCTTGCTTTAAATTCTCGAATAGCACTTTGCCTCTGTGGATTACGCCCTAGATTTTTCGAGACATTCATTCAGGCCAGACCCCTCGCAAACACTGACCATCCCACTGGTTCAAATCCTTTACGGTGGCGCAATGTGTCGTTTACTAGGTCCACCAGATGAGAACCTGGAATGGGTTTGGTTTCATACAATAGCTCTCCTTTATCATTCCAATGCAAGACATCTTGATGCTCTTTTATTTTATCCAACAATTGTCTACCCCGGCTTTGTAAATCTTGGTACAATCTTCATGGCTTCCTGCTCTACAGCTGATGAAATAGCTTTTTCTGGGGCAGGTTCTTCCGTAGGTTGCTCGTTCTCTTCGGTTTAGGTGTTTCTACTGCTTTGGGGGTTGATATTTTCACATGAAGAGGTTGACCTTTTTGCTGATCGTAATAAGTCAAGTACCGCTGCAACACTTGATTGTAAAACCTAGCTTTTTGTTCATCATCAAAATCTTTACTGGATAAAATATCGGTCATTTCACTATCCAAGTTTCTCAGAGTTTGTTTGACGGGTGGGGTCAAAGTCTGCTGCCGTTGCTGTAATCTTTCCAAGGTGTTCTCGGGCACGAGAACCATACGCTTTGTGTGATTCATTTTAGGTAAGAATCGAACTTAACACACGGAGAAAGGGAGGTAGTAAAACACTTAAAAAATTTCTTCCGTGTTGTACCAACAATTTCTTTTTCTTATCGAGCTGTGTACTTTTTTCGGCTAAAGCGATCAAAGATTTCTTGTGAGGTAAAAGTTTTTTCTTGGCTGGCTTACTGACAGGCACTGTTCCTTTAAGCACGTTTAAAACACACTCACAAACGGCTCTTACTAAAGCGTCGTGTACCACCTTAAAAAGGGCTTTACGCTGGGCTGGGGTACACTTGGCAAGCAGCTTCAGAAAATCGTGGTTCTTTCTCAGTCGCTGTGCCATCCTCAACTGAAGAAATTTGATGTGGTTCACGCTTTTTATACTTTTCGGACGTAAGCGTACTGAGTCTCCCCGGGGAAAATATTCGTACGCAGCCGGTAGTCGGTAGGTGTTTCCGGTTTAAGATCGCAAAATAAATATCCATAGGGCTTTTTTGTTGCATCCTCAAACGCTTCTTGCATGTATTTGACATGACCGGGAAACATTTGTCTTGCTAAATGATGGACTTGACTGCTATCACGCGGGCTTTTGAATACCACTAAGTAATGAGAATTCAAACTCATATCTCTCAGTTCTTTTCCACGATGAAAAATCTTTTGGAGAATAAAGATCACGCTGAGATTGCGATGGTGACAGCGCTTCGTAAACAAATTAGTCATTCGCTGATCATTGCTAAGCGTTCCAGGTCAGATAACTCGTGGACTCGAGTTAAATGATCTGCTAATCGAACTAAAAATTTTGACCCGCAACCTGGTATCGGGCAATGTTTACATTTCCTGCGCACCATGTTATCTCTGTGAAAGTTTGATTCCAACTGAACAAAACTGTTTGCCACACAAAATTTATCGTTAATTTAACACGAAACGACAGCCAAAAACGCCACATTTTAGCGTCGTGTTTTTTTTCCCGCGTGTGGATATCTCGCGTGTAAGTCATGCGCTCGAGTCAGGAAACAAGCCACGATTAAATTCAACCAATGATTTATTTACAAACTATTTTCCTATGTACAAACATCCGTGAAAAGCTACGCAAAAATACTATTTACTACCAGAGGCGATCTTATATAAATATTTCGGAAAACTATTTTTGAGAGTAATATATATATACAAACTTGAGAAAACGAAAATTATTTACAAAATCAATTTTTACAAACTAGAAAACTTAAATGTCGAGTGGAGTGGTGCTGACTCCATCAGGCAAAACTTTTCGTTTCGGGTAAAAATACGAGAATGCATCTCTCACTTGAGTGTAGGTATACATTGACAACTCTGAACCCCCGATTCACCCCAGCACTATTTTGTTTGGTTAATAGTACAATTAAATATTTATCTTTGTTAATCTCGTTACATTTCTTATTAACTCCTTTGCAAGAAAACTTATCTTTCGCCCCAAAACAGTAGTAGGTTTTTGAACACAACCCGATAATTCCTTGTCCCTCCCACTCAACCTTAAAAAGACCTGGGGTTCGCTTATCATACGCTTTATGCTCGGGTGTATCCGTACGGGGAAACCAGTTACATTTATCGGCTTCGAACTCTGCTTTCAATTCTGGTTTGACTAAACTTTCTACACTCTCCTCTGAAATGGCAATATACGCTGAATCCGTATCCATCTCACACATTTGAAAATCGCTGCGATCTAAATATTTATCCAAAAAATCATAATAAAACTGCAGCATGCGTAACTTCGCATACTGATACACAAAAAAGCCGACTTGAATGGGTAAGTTTAACTTAAAAGTTTTCTTACAAGGCTCTACTTCGTAAGTGTCTTCTGTGATATTATCCAGTTTCCGGAACAGTGGGGTGTTGACTTTTTGGCTGGCCTCTGCGTCACTGCAATACTCCACGTTTCTGTGTTTCAGTTGGTTAGTGATCGTCTTACCATGGCCTGAATTGCCCACCTGAGAGACAAACAAAGATATAAGCTTTTTCTATTCGTGAAAATGTGTATTGTTCCCACCCCCTTTAAGAATGAAAGAATGAAACAAAACCTTACCAGTTTCATGGTATCTGCAATGATGGCCTTCCTAGGATCCGCGTCTCCGGCTCTCCTCGCGTCTGACACTGCATCCCCAAAAGGTCTAAAACAGGGCTCAGGGGTAAACTCGATCACTTGGTGCACTTTGGTGACCTCTAAACCATGTTCCAGGTACCACTTGAGGATGGGGTGTGGCCAGCAGGATCTTTTCCCCTTTCATACTCCCAATCAAGCTTCACCGAGGCTGGGCCATGATTTTGTGTTCTTCTGCATAAGTTTGCATGAAGTCTCCAATATCATCGCGGCTGATTTCTGTGTTCTTGAAGATCGGGCGCATTTCACTAAACGTTTCCTTCAAATGATCTGGTACACGAATATCTACTTCCACGCACCCGAACAAACGCTCATGTCGCACCTCGCTCAATATCAGCTCTGGACTCATGATCTTTACTTTGTCCAGGGTTCTTTTTACTTCGGTGGCAATAAATCGCTGTAATTCACGATTCGTTTTCTTCATTTCTCTCCACTGACATTCATACATTTCCACCACGTTGTACCCTTTGCTGCGGATATACTCAGTGTTGGCTCTCGTTTCTTCTCTGATCTCAGCCATGGGTTTGTTTCGTTTCTCGTTAAACTCTTTTCCGCGGTTGAGAGCGCAGTCATGGCCGTGCCAAAAACAGCCGTGAAACTGGTACACAGTTTGCGTCTGCGCGTTGAAACCGTCTACAGGCAGTTTACGACCTCCGATGTGCTTTTCTGTATTGTTTAACTGATGTCGGATGTGAATTCCCTCTTTGTGCGCCGCCACCCATTCCAACCATTCAATAGCCATGCGTACAGAACTTTTAGGTTTGAACTCATTGTCTGCTAGGCGTCTCGTATAACTTTCCATGGGCATATCTTGCATGAGCGCCCAGAGATAAAGCGCATTTGCATCGTAACCGACGATTTTTTCACACGGCTTAGCAGCCTCGCCTTCCTCTGCTTCTCTGATCTTTGTTTTGCCTGCTTCATGATATCGGTGGAAAGTAATACCTGGGCCGCCTGTGTTGTTGACTTTAATGAGGCGATAGAGATCGCTGTTCGCTTGATCGAAGAGACTGAAGTAAGTTTGAGGTGAGAGGTATGAGAGGAGGTACTTCAGGGTTAAACCAGGGACCGAGATCCCGTCTTTGAACATACCAATCTTCCTTTCTCGCCAGAATTGACTCATTTTCTCGACGGCTTCTATAAACGGCACCACATCCAGGTTGTTGTACCACACGAGAAAATCTTCAAATGTCTGCATGTTATAAGATAAATAGAAGGCAGCATGAGGGGGTAGTGATGTCTCGTTCAGCTTATCTAACCCATCGACCCACCCATACGGGAAGAACCCTTTGGTCTGTTCGCATTCATAAGCTCTTACAAACTGGTCATAGCTGAATCCCGGCGCAACATAGTTCGAAATGTCCAGGAGCTTGAGAAAATCTGTCTTGAGACACATATGGTTGTTGTTTCTTTTGACAGTGAACTTGATGGGTTGAGTCTCATTGAGGTAGGGAAACAAATTTTCTTTCACAGCGTTGAGATCGTACTTGCCAGAATTAAAGCCTAGCACGGGTAGTTCATTAAGATAAACGTTCAGTTTTTCTTCTAGTTCGTTCAACACTTTGTTGTCGTTGCTTTGATCTTGACCAAACAACATGTCTTCATACATGGCCAGTTCTTGTCGCTGTTGTCTTCTCTTTTGTCTCCTCCCACTGTCTAACTCTTCGTTCAGTCTTCTGTAAAAAGATATATCTTCCTGCTCTTCCGTCTCATCATCGAGAAAGGCGCCATCTTCTTCGTTCTCCGGTTCAATTTCTTCTTCGTCTTCATCATCGCTTGTCATTAAGTCGATATCCTTTTCGTAGTCACTTAATTCTTCTTCGCTATTTTCATTTTCCTCACTTTCAGCTTGATGACTTTCCTCTTGGATGTCTACCAGAATTTGCGCCAACTGGTCGTCTCTCGTTTTAGGGGCTCTTGCGGTCTTGAGCGCTTCAAATACGTCTGCGTACTGTTCACGAAGCAGAGAGGAACTTTTCAGACTTATCTTGGTGAGGTACTGGATAAATTCTGTATTGAACTCGTTTGGGTCGCTGTTAGACACGAAACATTTCGGTGCTTGGTAACCAGGCACGTTACCACAGACGCTCACACTCAAAGGCACATGAGGTGACTGCCAATTCAACTTGTCTGTGTTCTTTAATTCTTGAGCTTTCTCTTTATCGAAGTAACATTCAAAATCGAAGGTTGCATGGTAGGGAAAATAGCGTGCTTCTTCAGGGACGATGATGCCTTCGTCTTCTAGTTGCTCAAAGACAGTCTTTGGTACATGGTAAGCTCCGCCTGGGTACTTCAGCTGGACTTTGCCGTCACAGGTTTCCTCATGATGCTGACATTTCCACATATCTTTCCAGTGCTTGCCGCAGCGAGAACAGCAGAAGGATTTACTGTACCGGGCGAGATCTTTAATATACGAGAAATGGTTTTCGTAGAGGTTCAAGTAGAGTGTGCTGGAGTAGTGGCGATGTGTGCGGCGGAGGAGTGTAGCGGCAATCTCGGGAGTATTCTCTTCATTGTCTTCGTCTTCACTGTGGATCTGAGTAGGCGCGAGACTGTATACTTGAATATTCACTTCATACAATTTTTCTAGGTCGTCTAGTTCGGACAACTTGACCCCATGGAACTTCTTTTTGGATAGGCCAGCGTCTCGATACTGATGGTAATAGTGCTTGGTATCTCTTTCTAGGTTCTTAGTATGGCAACCGTTGTGGAGGGCCAGACAGCGGAAAAAACACAGATTATCTTCAT